GCAAGCCTTTGAGTCACGCAGGAACTTTCCAGGAAGCGCCCCCCAGGGGTGTGGGGAGTGGAGGGCACCTGGTAGGGGAAGGCTGCTCAGACTCTAGCCAAGGGAGGGTGGGCTGCAGCGGCTGCTTTGTCTGGCCAATGGAAGGCTGGTGCTGCGAAGGCCCCTCGTGCAATGCCCGCCGTGACCTGGCTGGCTGGTGAAGATCCTCCTCTCACGATGCCCAGGGCACTGTGCTGCCAGCGTGGAGCTTGCCCTGGGGGCCCTGAGCTCTGGTTGGCTTCTGGTCAGAGGGTTGCCTCCAATCCCCCGAGTCCCGGTCTGCTAATCTGGGTGAAGCTTCTGCAGGATCTGCGTCTTGCTGGTCTATTGTCTGGGGCCCCACAGGGACCCAAGTGCCCCACTGCTTTATCAGCGGCTGGTGAGGTCAGAACCCACTCAGCCCTCCTCAACTCCCCCACCTGCAGCATTCGCATCTTGGTCTTTTCGGCAACGCGCAGGAACCCCGCCTGAGAAAATCCTGTCAGGCCAATCTCCTTCTGGATCGGGCCAAAGGCCTATGCAGTCCTAACTCAACACCACAGAGTTCGCACTTTCAAACTGGAAATCAATTATGGCTTAATTAAGACATAGTCATGAAGCAAACCTGGCTTAGCTGAAAGCCTGAGTCCAGCCCAGAGTGTTTCTCCTCCAGGGCAGAAGACGCCCTTCTGTGCCAGCCTGTGGAAGAAGGTTGCAAACTCTAATTTGCAAGCTCCTGGATTTCCAGAAGGGGAAGTGGGGCTCTTCCTCTAGCGCCCCAAAAGTGCACGCAAAGCAGATGGTGGGATTCGCCTTGTTGCCCCGCGGGGTACCCTCCTAGTGCAGGATTCCGGGCTTGTCCCCAAGCCTCGCGGCAGGTGAAGCGTGATGGTGGGAAGGGACACGTGACGTTCACAAAGCTTCGGCCGGGTAGACAGAAGCCACAAGTTGTTGCACTCACGGTGCTTTGTTGGAGCTGCACTTCCTTCAGGCTGCTCTACTCGAAGCAGCATTTCAAGATGTTCAAGCCCAAACAGCCCGACTCCCAGAAAGGAGGCAAAATTGGAAAAATTTCCACCCGTACTGGTGGAAGCGCTTCAGTCTGCTGACTCCCCTTTACCCCGGAACAGTCCGTGGCCAGGTGCAGAAGGGCGCGGCAGTGGCCAAGAGGCCAAATCTGCCCTTCTCTACCCTGCACCTCCGCCTGCCAGCCCCCAGCCTGCTGGTGAGGGGGGGCTTGGACTGCCCTCAAGCTGAGGCAGGCTCTGGGTTCAAATCCTGGTGTTTGGTGGGGCTGCTGGAGACCAGCCTCCTTGCTGGAAAAGACAGTGGGGGGGACCCAGAGCTCATGGAGGCCAGGAGGTGGGGGGAACAGGGAATCCTGGCCCGAGGAGTAGGTGCAACTGCTGCAGCTGGAGTCCTGGCAACGGAAGGGGCTGCAACTGTCACAATGGGGGGCTAGGAGGGGCAGGTCTCAAGGGCTGCGGGGGAGGGGCAGGCAGAAAGAGGAAGAAGAGCGGAACGGCCAAGGACCACAAAGACCAGCAGGTGAGTGTGTGTTGCAAGGGACGGAGGTGTCAGAAGGGGCCCAAGGAACAGAGGAACGTATCACCAAGTTGGCCCCCAGGGCAGTTCCTTCTAAAAACTGCAAGCCTTTGAGTCACGCAGGAACTTTTGACAACGATGGGGTTGGTTCGGCTTAGAAGAGTCGGTGGTTTGTAGGCTGGTGGGGGGCTGGCGTGAAGCAACGGGCTGCCTGCCTGCCTGCGCCCCGTGTCTTAATGGCACACAAAAGCCCTGCTCTGGAGGAAACGTAGCGGCCGGTGTGCCATTATTTGGGTTTGTGAAGAACCAAATATAATACCGTGCCTTTTTTTTAAACATCAAGCCCAAAGCGAAAATGTCATACGGAGTGAAATGGGAAGAAAATGAGCAGAGACTAAAACCCCAGCAGTGAACATTAATTAAGCTTTATATTCAGTTTTGGGAATTCGCTGCCTACCGCTTGCTGTCCCCAGATTTTAGGCACACGTGGGGCCTGGCCACAGAGCTAAGCTTCAATAGCCAGCCAGCCAGCCGCCGAAGCGGGTGCGAGGTGGCGCCCGAGGCTTGCAACGAGGAGTGCCTCAGCGGGGATTTGGCCCGGGCGGGGCCCGCGGGGGCCTCGATCCGCGACGCAGCGGCGGCGGCGGGCGCAGCCCGGACCGTTCCGGGGCGGCGCCGAGGCTGAGCTTCGCGGGCGAGGCGGCGCCGAGGGCTGCCCCCTAGCGGCTGATGCTGGTAACGTGGCGGCGCGCGGAAGCTGCGGGGGTTCTCGCAAGGCGACCGGCGGCCGCTCCGTCGTGGGGGCTCTTGCGACGGTCAGCGCCTTCATGGGTAACGCCAGAGTGGGTTGGGGGCGGGGGGCTTCCCCGATTGCGAGTTCCGTTTCCCCCTCGTTACCGGCCTAGCCTAGGTTGAGGTGCTGGCGGGTCAATCGATAAAGCTTATTTCGGGCGAGGGGGGGGAGACTCTCTTGCACTTTATCTCCCCACCCCCACCCCAAACCTGCTCCGAAATCACCCGCTATTTCAGTAGTAGTTGCGATGAAGCAAGGTAGTACCAAGCGGGGAAACTAATCACCCGCCGCCTCTTTGTCAATCATCCTTGGCTGAGCGTCATTCCAGGGAGGGTAATAATGATTACATTTACTTTATCTCGCTTTTAAAACACCTCAGTCTTAAAAGAGTCTAAGCAGTGCATTCGTGTTAGATAACATAATTTTAAGAAACTGAAATAAAACCAAGCTTTCCACGCCTAAATAGGTTCTTTTTTTTTTTAATGCTGCACTCTTGAGCAAAGGCCGCGCACAACTGCATTGTCCTGCTCCTTTGTTCTCTTTGGACCTCTTTTGGGTGTGTAACACACACGCTCCCAGCCGGGGGGGGCGCGCGTAGGGCTGCTGCTTCAGAGGAGAGAAGACCCCAAAAATCTAGACAGGCTGGAGCAGAGGCTGGGAGGCTTGGGCAGAATCAAACGGGGGGGAAGGAGGGGAAAAGGACGGGGGAGACCCGGCTTGGCAGTGGGACCTGTGAAAGGGGCCCGGGCCTGCTCGTCAGGGGCAAGCTGAACGGGTGCCAGCAATGCGAGGCAGCTGCTCAACAGGTCAACGCTATGGGGGAGCATTAAGAGGAATACAGAATCATGAGATCCAGCTCCAATTTGCAATCCTAAGGCTGGGCCAGAGGACTGCCAATTTGCCCAGCTGCCACCTCTTGGAGCCCACACCCAGGTCAGCCCCATCCAAGTCCGGGGGGGGCTGCCTGCCCCCAAGACGTCTCTTCCCTCTGCCCCGCCCGCTGCTGCTTTGCTCCTTGCCCGCCGCACCAGCCTTTCCTTCCCTGCCTCTTTGCCTTCCAGAAGGGAGCCCCCGGTGCAGCTCCTCACCCGCAGAGCCTCTCCAATCTATCTCGGTGGGCCCCCCAGCTCCCCGCGTCGGAGGGGCTGCCGCGAGGGCGGGGCCCGCCGACAGGCCGGCCGCCGCGGCCATTCCTGCCCTGAAAGGTGAGCAGCCGCGGCTCCTCAAGTTGCCGGCTGTCCTTTAAGCGGCTGCTTGGAATGACCCGCTGACCTTTACCAGGGCTAAATTTAGGCCAAGACGCTGGCAGAGGGCCAAGTAGCGAGGGACCGTCTGAAAGTCCCCAGGCCTCGCCGGGGCCGGCTTCGGGGAGCCTGAGGCGGGAAGGCGGCCCGGGGCGGCT